TGTTCAGTAACTGAGGGATCTCAAAGCTTGCTTTCATTTCAATCCCACTTATAGTTTCCATATTCTCAAAATCTTTTGCCAGGCAATCATATTTATAAAGCTTTCCTGTTTCATCTTCCCCAATACCTGTATCCCTGTGTCCCCATGTCGCCGTGTCCGTGTGTCTGTCTGTCCCCAGCGGCAGTGTGTGCAGTACGCGCTCAAGGCTCGCCCGCTGCGCCGCTACATCCCCAAGAACCCCTACCAGTACCAGATCTGGTACGTGGTCACCTCCTCCTACTTCGAGTACCTCATGTTCTTCCTGATCATGCTCAACACCATCTGCCTGGGCATGCAGGTGAGGGCACAGGGCTGGTGGAGGGAGGGGGTGCCCAGGCTGGCTCAGCCCTGCCATTCCCACGAGAGCCTCTGCAAAGGGGTGTGTTGTGGTGTGATGTCTGGATCAGGGCCTCTGGACCAAAATGGGGCTGGTTGTTTGTGGGGAGCCCACAGAAGGGGGTGCAGGGGGGAAATTTCCTTTGTGCTGAGTTGTGGGAGGGGGCTCTGCATCCAGCACAGATCTCTGAGCTCACAATGGAGGCTGGATCTGCCATCAGCTAATGGCTCCTTCTGCCTTATCCTCAGCATTACAACCAGTCTGAAGAAATGAACCACGTCTCAGACATCCTCAATGTGGCCTTCACCATCCTCTTCACCCTGGAGATGATCCTCAAGCTCATGGCCTTCAAAGTCAAGGTGAGAGAAGAGCATGATCAGCATGGAAAGCAGGGCAGGCCATGGGGTCCATTTATCCTGCCCTGGGCATCTCGAGTACAAGCACCCCCAACCCTGCAGCTCCACAGAACTTCTCCTTACAGGACCCTTAAGGACCCCCATGCACAGGACCTTGGAGTTTCTGGGGGGATTTCTGCTTGTCAGGGCTACCTTTGCTGCCAAATCCCACCCAGTCCAGTTGGACATTATTCCCATCCTCAGTGTCAGGGCCATAGGGGGGTCATAGCTCCACTGCAGCCATCCTGATCCACCCTCCTCATCTCACTGCAGTGCAAGACAGGACCAAATAACTGAGCAGAGGGTGCAAAACTATGACCACCATCCCTTCTTCTGAGGGGCAGAGTCACTGAAGAACCTTCTGGTTCCTCTGTGTCCTCCTTGACTTACACCCTTGCATGTTCGTTTGTCTTGGTTTGGAAAGACAGGAGTCTGCTAAGGAAGACAGGAGCCTCTCCTGAAATAGAGAATGTAAACCCTCCCTACCCCTCTGAATTGCTATAAATTTTTAATTAAGGGGCTCACAGGCAAAAATATGGGAGCAGGAAATAACAGTTCTTTAATAGGGAAAACAAAAAAAAGAAGAATAAAATAAAGAATGCACTACACTAGAACAACACTGACAGAGTCAGAACCCAGCCTGTGGGTCAGGGTGCTGGCAGCAGTCCCATTGGAATTGTGCTCAGCCCTCCTGCAGTGTCAGGGCTGGTTCTGCTGGAGCAGGGATCCTGGAGAAAGGTGCAGTCTCTGCCTCTGAAGATCCAGTGGAAGAAGAGGCAGCTGCTGTTCCTCTGGGCAGTCCAGTGCAGAAGCTGTGCTGGTGTTCCAGAATCTCCAGATTATATCTGGGTAGGAATGCTTGGCTCCTCCCTCTGGGCTCCCATCTCCCAATGGGATGCTGTAGCTCTTATCAGCCATGCAGGGACATTCAATGGCTGCTATCAGCAGATGTCCCCTCAGAGGGAGGAGTGATTGTGGTCACTCAGAGAGAGGTAAGGCAAACTGCCCACTTGACAAAGGTAATCTGCCATACAGATGGTAATGGAAAACATCTTGCATGGCAATCTTCAACATCACTCTTCTTTGCCTCCTTCCTGACAGGGCTACTTCGGAGACCCCTGGAATGTCTTTGACTTCCTCATAGTGATTGGCAGCATCATTGATGTCATCCTCAGTGAGATTGATGTAAGTGTCCAGGGGCAGGGGGCTGTTCCCACCCAGGGCTGCACTGGCACCTGCCCTGGCACGGGGCAGCAGTGCTGGGTGTGCCCAGCCCTGCAGGGGGATGCTGTCCTCTCCTCTCTCCCTGCTCTGCTTGGTTCTGAGGAGGGACAAGCAAGGATCAGCACATGGAGAGCACAGCTGTGGCCCTTTCAGCATTAAAGCACAATTTAGATGTCCCCAGCTGCCGAGCATGTCACGTTGACCCCTCTGCTCTGGTCTCCTGGATCTGTAGGCACTGGAATCCTGTGGAAAACAGGAACTCAGGACCAACCCATCAGCAGCAGGCTGTGTGCCAGCCCCTGCCCCACAGGCACCCACACATCCAGGTCAATGCAGGTGGGACTCAAAGGGCTCCCACAGCTCCCTGACCCCCAGGACTCAGCTGGCTCAGGGGAACCATCAGACCCATCAGATTTCCAGAAATTTCCTTTGTGTGTGTCCCTTTACACAGCAGCCCCTGCACAAAGGTGTGTGTGAGCTCCAGCCATCCCTGCAAGCTGTGGGATGGTGCCTCAGGCAGGGCCTGTTTGAGGAGGGCTCTGCTGGTAGCATTTCCAAAGCAGGGCCAGGAAGCCACCATGCCCCTGCCTTCCCTGGCACTGGCACATCCAGCCCTGTGTCCTGCCCTGGAAATGCCCCTCTGCTGTGGGAGGTGTGTGCTTCCTCCAGCAGCCTGGTGGGGCTCCAGGGGCAGCTGTGGAATAATGGGGAGTTGATGGATTGATCCTCTCCAGTGGCTTGGCAGTGTCTCCTCCAAGGGGCAGGGCTGGCTCTGGCACTGCTGTGACCTGTGGGTCACCTTCCATGTTCTCTGTGCAGGAAAGTGAGGTTGCCAGAGACCCTTGAGAGCACTCACCCTCCCTGTAGGGTATTCCAGGCCTCACAGAGCTGGGATGAGCAAAACCCACCCACCTTCCTCTCCTGTGAGAGCCCTGTGCCCCTCTCTGCACAGCCCTGCCCATCAGTACACCCATGCTCTGCCCCCTGGCTTCTCAGCCTTCATGATCCCCCAGATTTCCTGCCTTTATCTGCCATCAGCTTCTCTTCATCCTTGCACAGCAGCTCTCTGCACCTGTGCCTCGGTTTCCCACTGCCTGTCCTTCCCCAGCCTGCTCTCAGAACTCAGCATTTCAGGATTCTTGGACTCCACAGTGGTTTTCAGTCCCTCTGGAGCAAGGGATTACTTGGCTGTACACCAAAATCCTGCTGGCCTTGAGGTGGGGATGCCCAGGACCCAGCACAGGCCCCAGGAGGAGCCTGGTGCCCTGACTGGGCTGGCAGGGTCTGCTCTGTTGCTGTGCTCTGTGTGCTGCAGCAGGGCTGTGCAGAAGGCTGGGCAGAATTTGGGGAATGGTCTCTGTGCCCTGAGCACAGGTCCTTTCCCTGTGTCTGCGTCCTTGAGAGTCTGTGGGTGTAGGAGCGTTGGGGGGTAGGACGGTGGGGATGGATGGAGATGAGAGATCTCTGCAGCCAGGGCTGGGAACTTGTGGGTTATTGCAAAGGGCCTGGGTGCAGGGCCCTGCTGGGAGCTGCCAGCCACAGCTGGAGCAGGACTGAGAGAGGAGAGGGGCAGAGAGGATGAGAGGGTGAGAGAGTAAAAGGGTAAGAGAATGAGGTTCCCGTTACAATACCATAAATCTTCTTCTGTGTTGAATATTCTGATTCTCACTAACCAATCTAGTCCAAGATACAAATCCTATAGCATTTACATGCAGCCTATAAGAATCATTATGTTACCACACTGAGTTACATTTTAAACCCTAAAACTCCTTTAAAAACTCCTGTTTTTTAAAAGAAAAGTAAAAAAGAAAAAGTTAAAAACTCCTCTTTGGGCCCCTTCTGCCAAGCTGTAGGGTCTGCTCTGAGTCTTGGAGCTGTCTGCAAGCAGAGGGTGTTGTTCCATCAAAAGGGGATTACCTTCAGCTGTTTTCCAGTTGTTCAGTAACTGAGGTATCTCAAAGCTTGCTTTTGTTTCAATCTTGCTTGTAGTTTCCATATTCTCAAAATCTTTTGCCAGGCAATCATATTTATAAGGCTTTCCTGTTTCATCTTCCCCAACACGTGGGGATGCTCAGGACACACCACAGGCACAGGAGGACTCTCATGGTCTGTGTGGTTCCTTGCTCACCCAGGTGCTGCCTCTGCCTGTCACCAGTCACACCAGCTTGTCCCTGAGCCTGAGGGATGCTGGGGCTCTGTCTGCCTGGCCCTTCTCCCCAGTTCCATGTTACTCTTTGTTCTGTGTCTGTATTCTTTCCTTGTGTCCCTCCCTGACCCCCCTGTGCTGACTCTCTTGTTCTCTCTCTCCACAGACCATCCTGGCACCCAGTGGTGGCTTGTACTGCCTGGGTGGGGGCTGTGATAGCACTGTAGGTACCAGCTGTGTGTGCCTGCCTCCCTGCCTGCCCCTGCCAGCCTTTGCATGTGCCCTGTGTGCCACCGAGGCCACCAGAGCCAGCTCCTCCCTCAGGGCTGAGGAAGATTGGGGTGACACCACACACACAGACACCCCTTCCCACCCTGCACAGCCAGGGGACACGGGCAGCACCCTGCAGTCACCTCTCTTCAGTCCCTCTTTTGGTTTAAGTCCTGATGCGACATTCCCCAAACTGCCCTTCCCTGCTTAAACAGCTCTCATTAACCCTCCCTGTGCCTGGTGCCCAACCTATACCTCACCCTACAAATAGGGCAAGACTCTGGTGGGACTAAGGCTGTCTGTGGTGGCCCTGTGACCCTCAGGGCTCTCCCAGTCCATGTGCCAGCATGCCGTCCTCCCTGAATTATCCCAGTGTGAGCGTGGGGGCCTGGGAAGATGGGGAGAGGAGCCAGGGGAGAAGTGCCAGCACACTCTGCAGTCTGACCCTGTGTGCATGGCTGGTGCCTGGGGGTGGGATCTCTTTGCCTTTCTCCCCCCCAGGACCTGGAGTCCCTGCCTTGAAGGGCCCAGCACTGTCTGTCTGTCCTGCAGGACCCTGATGACAACGGCCGCGTCTCCATCACGTTTTTCCGGCTCTTCCGGGTGATGCGGTTGGTGAAGCTGCTGAGCAGAGGGGAAGGGGTCAGGACCCTCCTGTGGACCTTCATCAAGTCCTTTCAGGTCTGTCAGGAGCTCTGCTTGCCTCCCAAACACACACATGCCCAGGGCTGGCAGCACTGGCTGGGAGCATGAGCAGCCTGTCCCCACCAGGTGTGATATAGGGGTCCCCTCAGCCAGGTCTCATGAGCTCTTGGAGATCTGTATCCCACCCAAGATAGCTCAGCTACCTTAGAAGACATAAAATCAGCAGGATGGCTTCTGAGGTAGTGTTGGAAACAGAAAAGTTTTAATAAAAGGCAAAATAACAAAACCTTTTACAGAGAAAAACTGAGCCAGGTGCAAGAGGTTCTTGCTCCTGGTAAGACCCCTCACAAAAGCAATTAGTTTTTTTGTTCTCTTCTTTTTCTGGTAAATTGCTTAGGCAGGACTTTTTGGCTCCTGTCCAGTTGGCTATCCTTAAGTTTGAGGTGAAGTCCCCCAAGTCCTATGAGGTGTCTTTTTACCTAATTGAGGAAAGAAACTTCTGGGCTTTTTTCCTTTTTAAGGAGACAAAGGATGGTTTTGTCACTCTGTCAGCAAGGGGCACATTCCTTCCTATACAAGCAGAGGAGAAATCTCCAGTGTTCCTGCTGGCGTCAGGCTGGGCTGGGGGCTGTGGTGTGCAGAACATGGCCCCGTGGGTGGGAAGGTGACAGCTCTGAGTGTCAGAGCTGGGCCAGGTGCTGGCAGTACCTGCTGGGCCCGTTTGTCCTGGTCCCAGGGAACTGGGCTCTGCACCAGGGGTGTATTCAGGGCATGCTCACAGCCTGAGCTGGGCACTGCCCTCAGCCCTGGGCTGTGCTGAGCCCCTGTCCCAGCACAGAGGGCACTGGGGGCTGGCAGGAGGGTATGACAGGAACAGGTGAGCTGTCCCTTCCCCACACAGGGACAGGTCCAGCTCCTGCAGCACCTGCAGAGCCCAGGCCCTGTCCCTGGGCTGTGTCTCACCCAAGCCATGGTCCTTTTGTCACAGGCTCTGCCATACGTGGCCCTGCTGATTGTGATGCTTTTCTTCATCTATGCTGTGATTGGGATGCAGGTGAGGAGCACGGGGGCAGGGGGTGGGAATTGATCTTCATCAGGTGCTCTGAGCCTGATGGCACTGGGGAGGGGGGACAGGGAGGGACTCGTTCTCTGTTAGGCTCTTTCTGGCACTTTGTACAGGATGGGACCTGTTTGCCCTGGTCTGCAAGGGTGTTTGGCACCCCAGCAGCCTCCTCCTGCCCCTGGGCTGCAGCCAGGACAGCTGGGGCACATGGCACAGAGCACTTTGGGGGGCAGTGGCACAATCCATTGGCACAATCCATTGGCTGTCACAGACATCTTTTATGAAAAATATTTTCTTTAAGATTTTTCCTCCCGAGAAGCTGGGAGGCCTCAGGAACAAAATGTAAACATTGATTATCTACTGCTATGGAATGCAACAAGTAGATCTTTGATTAGCCCATGTTGGACGTTTGTAATTAATAGCCAATCAGAGCCCAGTTAGCTCAGACAGAGTCCAAGCCACAAACCTTTGTTATCATTCTTTCCTTTTCTATTCTTAGCTAACCTTCTGATGAAATCCATTCTTCTTTTAGTATAGTTTTAATATAATATATATCATAAAATAATAAATCAAGCCTTCTGAAACATGGAGTCAGATCCACGTCTCTTCCCTCATCCTAAGACCCTCTGAACACCATCACAATTGGCACCAGTGCTTGTCCTGGTTCAGATCCTGTCTCTGTGGCCCACATGAAGTGCAGCTGTAGTCAGGGGTGCTTTCAGCGCTGGCAGGAATGTCCAAGAGCACCCACATCCAGTCCCAGTCTCTTTTGGGGATTCCCAAAGCCAAATAAACCAGAGGAAGGGGAGCTCAGGCACCAGAGGGTGTTTGGTGCCAAGGAAGGGATGGCACACTGCAGACCTGCCACTGTCATTTGCAGATGTTTGGGAAGATTGCCATGGTGGATGGGACCCAGATCAACCGAAACAACAACTTCCAGACCTTTCCCCAGGCTGTGCTGCTGCTCTTCAGGTCAGTGTTGTCATGCCATGTGAGCAGCTCCAGGAGGCTCTGAGCCAGTGGGAATGCCCAACTTGGAGTGAGGCAGGACCAGCATTTCAGTAGCTGATTTATTTTTTGTCCCTCAGGAAGATCTCCTGCAGCAGAGGGAGTGCTTCAGGAGAGGCTGTGGGGTTTCTTGGTGGGGCTGCTGGAGAGAGGGGCATTTGGGGGTTGCTGTTCTGAGTATTTCCTTCCCAGACTGGATTTTAATTTGTGAATTGTGAGGAAACTCATGGGAAGCAGGAGCCCAGCCCAAGACTTTCCTTGACTCCAGACATTTCTGAAGCTTTCAGTGTCCCTATAGCAGCAAGCCCAGAATCCTGACTGCTCCTTGTTTTGTTCACAAACAGCCTTTTGCCAGTGATTCAGTCAAAACACCAATTACTAACATAAATCTGGGTGGCCTTCACCCAGCACTCGCTGTTCTTGTGTTCCACTGATACCTCAGGCCCTTACAGATTGCAGGTTTTCCTCCACTGTTCCTGGAGTGGATCTGCCATTGGTTTGCTCCAAGGGGCTGCCCACATGCTTCTGATAACATGAACATTTTATGGGCAGTGTTAGAAACCAAAGCTGCTCTTTAACTGGCATTCTGAGGCATTGTTTCACAGCTGGTAGTTATTAGTTCTGCTCTCTGCCTAGTGTTGTGTTAAGGTGCGAATCTTATTTCATTGATTTTTGGAAATGTCAGTATATTATGCCAGCGGAGGGTTTGGATTTCCCTACAAAAGCTTGTGTTTCCCATTCCCTGGTGTGCTGGGCTGGGCTGAGCCCTCCCTGCATGCCCAGGGACCAGCAGGTGTGCCCTGTCCCCAGGTGTGCCACAGGTGAGGCGTGGCAGGAGATCCTGCTGGACTGCAGCTACGGCCGGCGCTGCGACCCCGAGTCCGACTACGCCGAGGGAGAGGAGTACACCTGTGGCACTGGCTTTGCCTACTTCTACTTCATCAGTTTCTACATGCTCTGTGCCTTCCTGGTAAGCATCTTCCATAGTTCTGTTTCTCTAAAGTGTCTGGTCTAATTTGTAAGGCTTTGAAACTTGTTTCTGTTTCCCTTTCCTTCTCAGCAATGTCTGTCCTATTCCATGGCATTTCTCAGTCAGCATTTCTTATCCCAAGGTTTACATTTCTTATCTCAAGGTTGGCATACTATGTGAGCCTTCTGTCAAGCTTTGAGATGTCTCTACAAACCCATTTCCCACAGTGTGCTGGCTCCCATTGGCACCCCTGTCCTGGCTGTGTGTGCATGGGGTGAGCCCCTGAACCTGTCCCTGGGTTCATCCCCCCAGCCCACCTCTCAGGTTTTTGGTTGATAATTGCTGCCCTGAGATGTGCAGGGTGTCTCTGTTTCAGCCCGTGTGGCTGAAGAACGAGTCTGGACTCTTCACTGTTCGGTCTTGAGGTTGTTTATTAATTCTTATCTATAAAATTTTCTTTCTGCCCAGCCGAGATCTGCTCAGCAGGGCAGCCACAGGCACTCTGTGTTGTCCTTTTATACTACAAACTACATATAACATATTTACACTTAATTCCCAATACCCATCACCTATGTTAGACAGTGCACTTCTGCTCTAAACCAATCCCAAAGTGCCAACATCACTGCAGGAAATGGAGACCAAGAAGAAGAAGAAGAAGAAAGGCTGGACACGCCCAGGTTCCTCCATCTTGTCCCCATAACCCCCATACCAAAAATGCTAAAATCTACATTTTCACCCTGTGATAATTTTATTATTATACTGTTCAAACTTCTGTGACTTTCAGGTCCTCATACAAAGCTGGTAATTTGCTCCAGGGGTCAAAATCAAATCCCCAGGTGCTCTGGGCTGTGTGCCATGGTCTCTGAGTCCCCCAGTGGGGTCCTGGCAGCTCTGGACACCCCAAGGGATGCACTGAGTTCTGACATCTCCCCACCTACCCAGCCATGCTGTAAACTGACACTGCCCTCCTGGAGGACGCAGGATCCCTTTTAGTGTCTTCCCACAGCCTCTGTGTGCTGCCTTCCAGATGTGTTTGTGCTGGCCTCAGCAGGGGTGGAGAGGGATGAGATGCTGATGTCCTTGTCCTTTCACATGACCTGCTTGGGCAGGAGGCTCCTCTCTGCATGGGAACACCCTCACTGAGCATCCTCTGACTGCAGGACATCCCAGAACACATCTGCCCTGTTTTTGTAGTGCTGCTCTGTCTCCCCTGGCTGGGTCCTTCTCATGCTTTCCTCTGCCCTCAGATCATTAACCTCTTCGTGGCTGTCATCATGGACAACTTTGACTACCTGACACGGGACTGGTCCATCCTGGGGCCCCATCACCTGGACGAGTTCAAGAGGATCTGGGCTGAGTACGACCCTGAGGCCAAGTGAGTGAGGCTGGGTGGGTGGGTGGGCATGGAGGGGGTGTGTGGTGTTTTCTGGGGTCCCCCATCGAAGGGAAGAAATTATGAAACTCCATGTTTTTAGAAGGCAAATTTATTATTTTATGATTTATAATATATTATGACATTATATGACATTATATTATATGGCATTACATGGCATTACATGATATTAATTACATTGTATTACATTATATTACATGATATTCTATTATATTCTATTACATTATATTTTATTATATTGCATTACATTACATTATATTATAGAATGGTATACTAAAACTATACTAAAGAATAGAGAGAGAATACAGACAGAAGGCTAAAAGATAATAATGAAAACACGTGACTCTTTCCAGAGTCTGACACAGCCTGACCATGATTGGTCATTAAGTAAAAACAATTCACATGTTGGATGAACAATCTCCAACCACATTCCAAAGCAGCAAAACACAGGAGAAGCGAATGAGATAATAATTGTTTTCCTTTTTCTCTGGGGCTTCTCAGCTTCCCAGGAGAAGAATCGTGGACAAAGAGGATTTTCCAGAAAATATGACAGTGGCAGGGGTGTTCCATGGAGGGGACACATGCAGGCAGGGTGAGCTGTGGCACTGCCACCAGCCAGCTCCCAGCATCTCAGAGGTTCTTGTGGACTTGCCAGAGTTGGTCCAGGTTTGATAAAAGCCATCAGGAGATTTGGGACTTTCAGTTTGAGACTTTCAGTTCCCTCTCCATCCAGCTGTGGTGAGGCTGCCTGTGGGAACCCAGGACATCCCTCTGGCTGTCCGGGATGGCCAGGACCCCTGCCTGGGGGCTCAGAGACCCTGGCACGGAGCCCAAAACACCTGTGGGTTTGATTATGACCCATGGAGCAAATTACCAACCTTAGAGGAAGATCAGCAAGCCACAACACTTTAGGTAGAATAACAGTGAAGTTATCACAGGGTGGAAAAGTAGATTTTGTTTTTTTTAGAATGGGGGTTCAGGGGGCAAGATGGAGGGATCTGAGTGTGTCCAGCCTTTCCTTCTTCTTCTTGGCCTCCATCTTCTGCTGTGATGTTGGCACTTTTAGATTGGTTTAGAGTAGAAGCTCACTGTCTAACATAGGTGATAGGTATTGGGAAGTAATTGTAAACATTGTACATGTAGTTTTTAGTATAAAGACATAACACTGTCCTGGGGACAGGCAGAGTGCCTGGAACTGTCCTGCTGGATGGACCTCGGCAGGGNATGTAGTTTTTAGTATAAAGACATAACACTGTCCTGGGGACAGGCAGAGTGCCTGGAACTGTCCTGCTGGATGGACCTCGGCAGGGCAGGAGAAAATTTTTTATAGATAAGGAACAATAAACAACCTTGAGACTGAGAAATGAAGAGCTCTGACTCCTTCTTCAAGTGCCAGGCTGGGAAAAGAGACTTTCCAACACATCTTGGGGTCACTCTGAGCAGTGAGAGATCCCGACAGCTGCCAACCCTTCCCACGTCATGCACCCTTCACCTGCTCTCCAGGGCCACAGGGAGCAGCTGCTTTTCTGTGCTTTCCCCAGGAGGAGCAGAGGGAAGGGTGGGGATTTGCCCAGGGCTCAGCCCCCAGAGCAGCTCCCCAAGGCACTGCCAGGCAGCTCTGCTGCCCCTCTGCTCTTTCCTCTGCAGGGGGAGGATCAAACACCTGGATGTGGTGACTCTGCTGAGGCGGATCAACCCTCCCCTGGGCTTTGGGAAGTTCTGCCCGCACCGTGTGGCTTGTAAGGTAAGAGCCAAGGTGGTGTGTGAGCCAGGGACATGTAGGAATGTGCCCCCTGTGGATGGGGGACCAAGAGATTGTTGGCCATTTTGTGCCTTCTAATGAAAAGCTGCAAAACTCACAGCAGTGAGACGGTTTTACTGATAAGAAATAATGAACACCTGAGTCTGAACATGAACTATCATCTCAAGTGCCTTCAATCTAGAACCAGAGAAACCCACAACTGGTACCCCACAGTGTCCAATAACCAAATCACTCTCAGTAAACAATCTCCATAACACATTCCACCAATGCCAAACAACAGAAGCAGTGAATTCAGTTAAGAATTGTTTTCTCTTCTTCTCTGAGCTTCTCACTACCTTCCCCAGGAGAGATCCTGGGAGGGAGAATCATGTCTCTCTCAGCTCAGAGAATGTGAATGCCACAGCTCCTGGGCAGGCCAGGCAGTGAGCCTGGGGGCTGCCAGGCTGCTGTGGCCCTGCTGACAGGCTTGGTTTGCTGTGTGTGCAGCGCCTGGTGTGCATGAACATGCCCCTGAACAGTGACGGCACCGTCACCTTCAATGCCACCCTCTTCGCCCTGGTGAGGACAGCCCTCAAGATCAAGACAGAAGGTAAGCAGTGATCCTGGTTTCCTCTACAGCCTGACAGAGAATCTTCCTTGTGAATTTCCCTTCTTTGACCTGCACATATGTCATGGTTTGGAATGACAGGAGTCTGCTAAGAAAAGCAGGAGCCTCCCCTGAAATGGAAAATGTAAACCCTCCCCACCCCTCTGAATTGCTATAAATTTTCAATTAAGGGGCTCTCAGGCAAAAATATGGGAGCAGGAAATAACAGTTCTTCAATAGGGAAAAGAAAAAAAAAGGATAAAATAAACAATGCAGTACACTAGAACAACACTG